CCTCCAGCCGCATCGCTGTGATGGGACCTCCTGAAATAACTAGGGTGGCCTTTTTGCAGCGACTTGCTGCCCGTGAGGTTGAGGAACATTATAAATTGAGTTGATAGTTTTTGTTTCTCAGGTGGCCGTTAATTTAGGATACTGTGAATCTCTGTTCTTAAAGAGATCTTTAAAAAGTCAGTCTTCACACTGCTCGACTTTGCAGACTCCCATCGCTGTGATGGGACCTCCTGAAATAACTAGGGTGGCCTTTTTGCAGCGACTTGCTGCCCGTGAGGTTGAGGAACATTATAAATTGAGTTGATAGTTTTTGTTTCTCAGGTGGCCGTTAATTTAGGATACTGTGAATCTCTGTTCTTAAAGAGATCTTTAAAAAGTCAGTCTTCACACTGCTCGACTTTGCAGACTCCAGTGAGCTCTTTATCCTAGTGTCAGCTTAACAACATTTCGTTGCGGTTCCAGATCTCTCTTCTAAATAAATGCTCGCTTATGTGTATTTTTTAATTCGCACATGCCTAACATGTTAAGTGAGCAGGTTATTTCTCTTCTATCATCAAAGGAAAGAAAACCGAGCATCTCCCCCTGCGCTGATTGAACGTTGCGGGAGCTCAGGCAGTCTTTGTACCTTGGATTTTCTTGACTGGTGAGGATCCACGTACGGATCGTGCTAGTGGAAAGAGAAGCCTGAGGGTTGATAATTAACAGGCAATCCTGAAAAGAAGATAACAGAATTTTTCCTTTTTAAAAGGGCAGTTTCTGTCAAAAATAATTTTTCCAAAAGTTGCGTGCAATTTTTTTAAACTGGTTTATAGCAGCACGCTCATATCTGTTTTGAAGACCAGGCTTCAGTGTTGGTGTTACTGTTGTACTTGCAGCGTCCTTGTGGAGGTAAAGGAGAATCAGCATGAAAACTGAGAAGGAAATTTATTTCTTTATCCCCATTGGAAGATAGACCAGCTGTGGCCGAAAGTGTCATCAGTGAGCCATCTAATTAAACTTTCTGAATGCCTTCCCTGGTAATTGTTTTGCATTATGCTTTTCATTCCAGTCCTAGAATCATTACCACTATCCTTACTCAGGAAAAGTTCCTGTCAAAGTCAAATGAGAATTTTATTTGCACTAGAAGAAGGACCTTCAGCCTCCGCTCTACTCACTTGGGTACCAATGGGATTAAGTCTGAGTGAGAACGGAAGGAGCTAGTCCCAAAAATGTACATTATTTGTTTTAAATAACTTTTCTAGCTGTTTAAATTTAACATCCTACATTAATAGTAGCAAGTCAGTTCCTATTTGAAGACAATATTTTTGTCATTGACTTCTTGGGAAGAAACGACAGGGAAACGGCCCAGAGAACGTGCGTTCAGTATAGGCTGCTGTCCTCAGTTCCTCGGCCGTAGTTACTGAACATAGATTTCAACCTTGTTGATGCAAGTTATGGCTTTTTTGGCTGTAGAATAATCATTGCAATTGGTAGATTTTTTTCTGAACCAAGCGTGCATTTTGCAGTTCTAGTAAGTTAGTAAATACTGACCGCTTAGTCTGTCACATCTTTATAGCTGATTATTGCAAACATCTATTTTTCTTAAGTCACAGCTTGCACAGTTATAAGAAACGTACCAGTGTGGAAGAAGTACTGTTCTCTGCCCCAAAAATCACAATTGTGTAAACAAGAAAGGCTGTTTTGATGCTTACAGTTTTGTGCTGTTTAATGCCTATGTTCAGTCTATTTCTTATAGCAAGTCTTACAGAAATGAGAGACCTAATGGACAGAAGCAGGTACAGAATGGCAAATTCCTGTTCTGTGACTTTGATCATAAGATTTCCCTGTGCTCACAGGAAGATGTTCAGAGGACATGTGCAAACTGTTCTGCGCGAAAATCACTTTTATAGAAGGCCGATATTATCCTTCAACACTTGGCCAAAAAATGGTGAAACAGACTTCTGAATTTTGGTATTTCCATTTGTTATTTATTCCAGTAGAATATTAATGCCCAAATGTGAATCTGTCAGGATAATCTTCATTTGGAAGGGAGACAGGAGTGCTTAATTCTTTTACGTGAAAATCCTCCTTTCGTGTAATCGGGTTACATATGAGTAAGGAGGGGTTTTTGTCTAAGGTTTAGGACTATCTAAAATGAAATAATTTATTGCTTTGTGGCTTTTTCCTGATGTGCAGTTGCACTGAGAAGATTATATTGAAGAGAGTCTTTTAAAATAAACCGTTGTTTTTGAGTCATGTTGATTTAGAGTCAATGATAACATATACTTTCAAAACTTAAGTCGTACTTCTTAGGGAATAAAAACTAAATACTGTCATTTGACATGCATGACTAAACTTGCAGTACAATAAGCATTGCTCATGTTGATGATAATCTAAAGTTTTCCACTGTCCTCAAAAGAAAAATTGGTGGATGAGCCTGTTGAATCCACGAGCTGATGACTTCTGCTCTCATAGGCCAGTTGTTTGGAGAAGGCAGGAATTAATCAAGCGGATATCAGGAGATGTGGTTGGGCACGTCAGTGAGGAGTTGAGATGATCTGGGATAGATGCATAAGTAAAGCCCCCGCTGAAATGAGAGATGGTTGTGTTCAATCAGAACATGTTCAGTCTGGTCTGTTAGGTTGTGAGGCAAAGACCATGGGGATTGAGGTTCCACAGAAGCAAAGATGAACGTTTAGCGATTTATTTATTACCTAGGGACTATTAAGAACAAGAAAGCAGAAGAATCTTTGATGAACACTTAAACTGAAAAATTACAGCATCGCCTTGCTTTTGGTTGTAAGCTTCTCCCTGGTTTTTCTTGTCATTTGGAGTAAAGCATCTTAGTCGACGTCCTCCACCCTTCTCTTGTTTTTATAATTTCTTCTTCCTCTTTGGGTTAGTAACTCAATTTTTAGTGCAAAAACATCTGTAGTTTCTCCTATTGCAGTCTTCAACATCTCTTAAGCTATGAGAACCATGCAAGTTCTGTGTTTCAGTGTTTCTTTTAATTGAGGATTGCCTGAGTGTTGCATCAGATGGTTTATGGTTCCTAGTGCTAGCCAGAAACAATTTAAGAAACAAAAGATGAGCTATTTCTAATTTGGAGATTATAAAAATGACTCTTAACTGTGACCATGGTGAAACAATTGAAAAAAAAAAAAAAAACACAGTTGTTAGAACTGCAACTAGAAGACATAGTAGTAAATGGTCCGTGCAGAATTAATATCCTAAACAATTTTCATGCTGCAGTAATAACCTTAATATTTACATATTTTCATTAAATCACGACCTGGCGCATGATCATTATTATGAATAATTCTTTTACCAGCGTTGGCCAGTTTGCAAGCCGTTAGGTTTGTGCGCGTGCGTGCACCTTTGTTCTTTAACAACGTCAAGCATCAGGTTACACCAGCTCGTCCCTATCGCACATTCCCATTTCTGCCATGGCTCATGTTACACGGGGCGGGGGAGGAGCTGGAGTTGAACGTCGTTTAGGTATAGCTAATAGTCATCTGATGTTTTCTTGTGCATGGTAATATAGTACCTTCTTTCTCATCAGATCGGGCCTCCTGGGTCAGATGGTTAGAGTAATTTCACGAGGGTTGTCGAGCACCTATTTCGGTAGAGAGAGTGGCATCAAATTCCTTGCATGTAGGCAACCCTCATGGGGATTTGCTTTTGGCAATAACGTACCGTAACCTTTGTCTATCTTTTTCCCCGCTCCCTTTTTAAAAATGACTGCGATGACTCCTGTATGAGCTCGGCCAGTGGGAGTAAGCTAGCTTGTTCTCTTTCTGGCTCCTCATCGCTAAAAGCAGCAGACCTTTCTCCAACCAAGGCACCCCACGTTGATGGTGGGCAGTCTCCTAAACAGCAGGAGATTTATTGCTGCCTTCAAGGTCCTAACTTGACCTGTTGAGCTTTTATTGCAGGAGATACCTGAGAACAAACATCCCCACCGTCCTTAGTTTCGGATCCCAAATTTAATTGGCAAGACATATGTAAATATAAATTACATAAATCAAAGCTATTATGTTGAGAGTCATAGAGGCATGAAACATACTGACCTATGATACAATATGTAGACCGGCTTTTCAAATTAGCCTTTCACTTTAATGGGCATGTGGGTTCAACTTGGAAATATAATACAATAATCTCAACATATACATTGTATCTGTAATAATCTCTGTATTCCCTAGTTTTGTTTCTCTGGTCTGGGAAGAATATTTGTTAAAAAACTTACTAACAAAAGTTTTATAAATTATTATTTTATTATAAACAAATGTTGCACAGAACCTAGAGACTTTCAGAGCTGCAACCATTCAAACACGCAGCAAAATCACGTTTCTGTGGCCCCAGCAGTCAATACTGCTTTGTTACAGCTAGAATTTTATTCTTTCCCCTGCTTTGTAATTTAATTCTGTTGAATCTTTTCTGGGTCTGCAAGGATAAAAGTGAAGTGCTTGCTTTTTTTCTTAGGCAGCGTTAGTTTTAGTCTGATCACTTGTATTGAATGCCAGATCTCTTTGGTCAGACATACAGAATGCATTCAGTTTTGAAGCGGAAGTTTTATGTTCAAAGAAAACAGTTACTGAGCACAAAACGTATACGTTCGTTTTAGATATTTACAGTTAAGCGTCTCGAGCCTTAATAGGCTCCATTTACCTATGATCTTAGCCTTTCTGTAGTTGCTGATGGCCTGTAGTTGCCAGGTCCATTTGCTTCCTATAAAAGATTCCTTTAATAAAGTGAGAAGGAAAAGGGGAAGTGTTTAAGAGTATCGAGAACCGTGCCTCAATCCTTGCACGCTTTAAGACTGTACAGTTGGTTGAAGTTTTAAGGAGAGGCATCTCCTTTGTAAAGAATGCAGATAACTTTTTTTTTTCTTTTTGGGTGGGGGGGAATGGGTAACCCGATATGAGTCTGACAGTGTTGTTTAGTTAAGTGCTTCCATCTGTTGCCTGCTATTTCCCTTACTCATGACCTCTCTTTCTCTCTCCCCTCCTCCTTCTCCTTAGCCCCTTTGAGGAAAGCAAAGTTTGTTGAGAGCCCTCGAATCCCCGAGTCGGAGCTTGGCTCCCCAACGCTCTCGTCAGCGCCGAAACTGGACGTCGACGCATACTGCCCTGGTAAGCCCGCGTGCCCTCAAAGAGGGAGAAAGGCCATTCCAGCTCTGCGCGATTTCTGGATGTGGAATGCCTCCTTTTTACTGCTGGTTGGTTGGACCTTCCCCAACCGCGTTTTATTGACTTGGAAGCTTGAATAAGTAGCTGTTTCTAATTGATATCCGTTTATTTTTGTTGCTTACAATTTTGTGCGTGATCCAGACTAACTCGTGGCTGCTCTCCCCAAGGAATAGCTCAGAATATCTAGAGGGTTGATTTTAAGTAGATAAAAGTGATCCAGTAAGCCTCCTCTTTCAAATTTGTTCTTTAATGAGGGGCTTCAGAGATGCCAGAAGTGAAACATGTTTCAGAAATAACATTAAATCAACTAATATGAAACAATATGATCTTGTATACCTGCAGCGAAGAATATACGTATGTATATGTGTTTCTATATTTTTAATAGGCTGCAGTTTATGCATCCTGTAGGAATTGCTCTTAAAAGCATACATCTCGCTAGAGGCCTCTGGAGAACACGGGTTGAAGCATAAATAGAAGTGGGTCGCGTCTCTCCCTGGCTTAACCCTCTGTTTGTCTGACTCTTCGGTCAGGCAGTTGCATAAATATCTTCAAGCTCAGACAGACCTCATGCAGATGTGTGAATTCCATTAAATCTTTATATAGCTGCATCTCGCTGAGAAGTCGGTATCGTTTCCCAGATTCTTCCAAACGCGGCGAAGTTGCTTGGCAACGTGGGGAAGGCTGGGAAGCTGTGCCGGAGGTGTTACACTCGGAGCAGGCTGCCATCGGGGCTTTCTTAAAGAAGCAGGAAGTGTTGCTTTGAAATTTTTGCCGAATTCTGCCCTTTCTTCCTCTGGCTCTCGCTCATCCCTAAAGGAAAGGGACCCACCATCCGCCGAGGCCTTTGATGGGATAAAAGAATGTCAAACGCTTTCAAATAGCACGTGAACATATGAAATCCTGCTCTTAAAACTGTACGTGTGAAATCCTGCTCTTAAAACTGTAGCTATAGCAGGAAAGGCCTTATTGATAAATGGTTCTCTGAAATCACGGTATCATTTCTTTCCGTGGATGGTGAGCTTAAAGAATATTCACAACTGGAGGGATTGAACGTTGTCCAAATTTTGAGTTGGCTTTCTGTAGCGTATTGTGTTTGAAAGAGAGGCACGTCTTAGAAAAAGACGGTCCCTGTGCTTGGAAACGCCTCCTTTGAGGCCGTGCTTGCAGTGAAAAGTACTCGTTCTTTGCCCGCGATCGTGAGTTGCAGTTAACGTTTTACTGCTGCAGCTTTCTCTTTCTTTTGACTGTAGAGCTTCTACTGTGGCGTTTATAATCATTAATAATTACAAAGTTGTTATGAAGGTATTCGGAGAATTATAGTTGAGTCGTAAATATGCCTTAAAAAGAGTAAATTCCGCATTCCCGGGTCTTGTGTGTGCGTGCCGCAGGCAAGCTCGCGCGTGTGCTGCCCCTCGCCCCCAGCTGCGTTTGCCACTAGCTCGTGGAGGAAGGGGCAGGAGTACCCCGAAGGTCTCCAAAGCCCACGGCTGGGGAAGTGCAGCTTTGCCAATGCCATCTGCTCTTTTGGTTCTTGGTCTCTTCTTGTTGATAGTGATTTGAAAGGAAAAGTGGAGTTTTCTAATGCCTTGGAATATCATTAAAAAAAATAAAAACTAAAAAACCTGAAGTGTCTTTAGGGAGAAGAGTTGTCGCACTGTGTGCTAGTGAACAGCGCTAACTTAGAGCAAAGGCAGGAGCTGCAGATTGCAGGAGGTCTGCGTGTCAGGGAAGCTGCCAGGGAACCTCAGTGCCTGTTACATCCATGCACGTTTGGGGTCTGGGAACTCGTCTAGCAGGAAAACCTGGGTTTGTCAGAGTCTGGAGAGTGCCCGTTCCAAATAGCCAAGGTGCCAGTTGCAACTAGGCTTGCTGGTCGCATAGCGTTAGAGGAGCCTGGAGGGGAGGGGTTTTTGAAGGATTTTTTTTTTAATTTGATTTTTTTTTTTTTTGGGAAGCTGAAGCTATTCAGAAGAAGAAAGTTTGTGTGATGCACAGTTTCCTTATTGCAGTTTCCTCCCATCTTCCCCACGCTCAGAGTTGCAGGGAGGCACTCCCACGCGAGCGGTACCCTGTGGTTATTTACTCTTGCGTGATAGAAATGCATTATGCTTTATCCATCCGAATTCCTCATTTTTTGCTGTGAAAATAGCGGTAACATGATGGCCGGAGGTTTTGCTGGGCTGAAAGGTTGGACTGTGGTTGGGAGTTCAGGAGGTGAGACCCTGGGAAGGAGGAGGTGGCTGGGGGAGGGATCCTTGAGTTAAGAAATGAAAGGACGAGGATCTGGACAAGTTGGAAGGGACAAAGGACATAGGGTCTGGTCGTAGTGTCTGGCTCTGGATGGGAAGTGGGGGAAGAGCGGGGTCCGGGGCCGGGCTGCAGCCTACGGGCGGTGCTGGTAACCGCAACGTTCTCCAAGGAATTGCACCTCCTTTCTTTGATGTTAGATTTATTTTAGCCCTCTTCCCAAGTGTGTGTACTGTGAAGGATGTTCATGCACAAAGCGTTAAATCCAGGGTGTCTCCGGGAGCAAGGTTGGATGCACGATGATATAAATTGAAAGAAGAAGGAAAAATAAGATGGAAGCTACGCTACAGCCTGCCAACTGAGTGGAGGTGGAGCGGTTTGTAAAGCACTCCCCGACAAGTAACGTCATTAATTATACACTTAAAGGCAGTTTAAAACACTAAACAGCAACGAGAGGAGAGCGTTATCTACTCTGCGTATAGAAATGATTATTTCCATTGGAGATACCTCGAGATGAAAGTTTACTCAATGCAAAAAATGTTTATTTTAAGGCTTCAGGCAAATTTCAGCACGTTCTGGGAGGTGGTTTCCTGAGCAACCGTTGCTCCCGCTTCGGCCTGTCTTGCTTGTACCAGGAATTATCTCTTTTGACATGTTGCAGGATGAATCAGTGTACAAGATGATACATTCTCCATCTTTTTAATTTGAAGAAGGAAAAAAACATAATGAAGTGGCTGGTATCTTTTGAGGGAAGTTGGAGTAGGAAGGACCTAGCAAAGATATAAGCTGGTTATAAAAAAAAATAATAATAATGATAATAATAATTTATGAGCTGTATTCTTCCTTGTGCCAAAGAAAGCAATTAAATTCGTCGAGATGAATTTATTCTATTTTAAGTGAAAGCAGAGAACGGCCCACGTTTTATAGTTGTGGCACTGTCTATGATGTAGTGAAGGGTGTCCTGGTCACTTTTGTTCTGCTTGGTTGTTTATCACGAGGGCGTTTTCCTTTAAATTGCTTCTTCTTTGGAACGTGGCATGTAAAACATGCCTGTGTTTTTATTCATAAACACTCAGGAAATCTATTGGAAACAGCCTGAGATGGATGGTGCTTTCAGGTAATTGCCTTTTGTGTTCGACCAGTGATTTATTGCCTTGCCATTATCTTTCAAAAGCAAAGTATGTTATAACATTATCTTTTAATTTGATTAAATTCTTCTTCAGAAATTTTGGGACACAAATCTTAAATGTCTGGTCAGTGGATGTTTGCTCATTCTCCATTAAGCTGCCAGGCATCTGTTTTGGTTCATAATCGAGTTAAATAACACAATGGTCCCAGGAAGGTAATTTACCAGCACAGCTTTTTTTACGCTCATCTCGTTGCTCCGTCTCCTCTCTCTTTGCTTAAAGAAGCATCGAGGTTGACATTTGCTTGCCTCTGCTTCTTTCTTTGCATTGGGTAAAATTAGTGATTTTCATTTTACACAAACCATGCGCTTTTCTTCTTAAACAAACACAGCAAGACATTTCTCGAGTGTTAGAAAGAACCCTTTAACAAGCAGTCGAATGCACATGGAATGTATGAAACGGATCCGCACTCTCCTTTTTCATGGTGAAAATAAAGGCAATAAGCCAAAAAATAGCCCCCAAGCAAAACCCAGACAGCAGGACCCTTGTCCACACCTCTGTTGTATTAGACAGTGATGAACTGGGAGGAAGGCGAGAGAATAATCAAACAAGCTTTGGCCTGACAAATAGTTTTACTGTTGAATCTTCTGCTTGTCCCATCGTTACCGAAGTCGCTGACCTGAAGGGAATGGGAAATCGTTGCGGTCCGGCCCGACTGCAGAAGAGTCCTGGCAATTCAGCTGGTTGGTTGCTATGGAGCCGATTGACTTTTCTCATGCTCCTCTTTACTGGCCGGTGCTGTTTTCCTCTGTAGCATTTAGAGGTGGAAACTGCTTCATAATGAATTCCAGGACTGATCATCCAGAACTTAACAAAACAAAACCCAGCTATGTAAGAACTAGTCTGAAATTCTGCTACTTTTAAAGGTGGTAGAAATACCTAAAGCCCTTTTAGCGTTTCATATGTGTGTCTCTGTTTGGGATTGGCCATCATATATATTGGGTTTGCCGTTATATGTAGATAACTGGCTTTGCGGCACCTTCGAAGTTGCAGCTTTGAGAAATGTGGGTGGCTGAACAAGTTAGGCTTTACTGAACCTTCGTATCGAAGGGAGAGGTTCACAGAACTGGAGGTAAGCTGAATCCCATATACTATTGCCATATTTTAATTGTTAAATGAATTCAGATAGCATGATATTCTTGAAGCCTCCTAACATCTCCTGGCAGTCAACGTCCCCTTATAGCCTGGGTTTTGGCTTCATCTATATAAAGCTGGGTGGTTCTTCATGTAAACAGATTTTGGATCATTTTGAGGCTTTTTTCTTTCCTTCCCTTTTTTTTTTTTTTTAATTTAGTAGCTACTGCCAAAGCACATTAACTAGAAGGCCCTGAAGTGCGTTTCATACAGCAGATATTTTAGACTTTTTCTGCAACTTCGCACCTTTTGCTGCCGTTCTTGATGGATCTTGGAGAGTGTAACAAGTTGTTCTGCCTTGTCAAACAGGAGTGCTTGCTCTCAGTTTGTCTGTTGGGAGACAGTAACTTGTTTTGTGCTGATATTTTGGTTTAT